CCGCCGCAAGCCGCGCCAACCCTCTTATCCTCGCCTTCCCGCCCCTTCGTTCGCTATCCACCGATTATTCGATCCTTTCTCTCTTCGACTTCTTGCTGGGGATACCAAAGATTGTCACGTTTCCGTTCACTGTCATGTTATTTTAAAAAAAGATTGTGTTCACTGTCGTTCACTGTGTGGAGTATGGGACTTGTTATGTCTTGAATTTCAGTTTTGCTATAGTTTGTACATTTTTTGGATTTCTGAATTAATTTTTTGGTTGGTAATTTGGGGAGGTGGAAATTTTTGTGTTGGTGGGGGAATAAGTTTGTGGGTTCTTAAATCTGCACGTCTTCAAATTTAGAGGTCTTCAAATTTGCACTTCTCCAAATCCACCCACTCCCAAATTTCTATATCTTCAAATCCACTCATTTCCAAATCTCCACATCTCCAAATTTCTACATTCCCAAATCCACCCACACTCAAATCTCCACATCTCCAAATCCACTCATTCCCAAATCTCCACATCTCCAAATCCACCCACTCCCAAATCTCCACATCTCCAAATCCACCCACTCCCAAATCTCCACATCTCCAAATCCACCCACTCCCAAATCTCCACGTCCCCAAATATCCACATCTCCAAATCTCTACATTCCCAAATCCACCCACTCCCAAATCTCCACATCCCCAAATCCACCCACTCCCAAATCTCCACGTCCCCAAATCTCCACATCTCCAAATCCACCCACTCCCAAATCTCCATATCCCCAAATCCCCACGTCCCCAAATCCTCCCGCTCCCAAACTCCCACCCTCCAAATCTTCAAATTCCCCAGCTCCTCAAATTTCCACACCACTCTCTAAATCCCTAACCCCCCAAATTCCCACCTCCTCCACTTCCCAATCTTCCTCTCCTAAACCCCCTAACCCTCCCACGCTTCAAAACCCCCCCATGTTCGTCCCACTTTACATCATCCTATTAATATACCAAAAGATAAAAACCCTTGTATATCCCAACACAAACAATCCTCAACGCCAGTTACAGTCATTAGATTCCCGTCCTCCATTATCTCTAATGTCAGTCGTTCTTACGAGGCATAATGGAGACAAGACAGTCTACTTAATGACGGTCAATGACAAAACAAATAAAGAACTGTACATTTTCTCCTAATAAAAAG